GTGAAAACTGACTCCTAGTTGACCTTCCATTAGGTTTCCAAGGCTGCAAATGTCCATTTTCTTCTCTTGGAGAGGTTGGTGGGCACTCAAACTGCCAGGGAGCGACAGGCTCTGGGTCAACAGAGCACCTTCCTACGGGCAAAGCCACCAGAACGCCCTAGAGAAAATTCACCTTGAGTGAAATCTGCCTTTTCCTACACTCTTTCTAGGGTCCTGATTCTGCTCTCATGATTTTCACTGCACTTCTACGATACTGTGGAGAGTCCTGGTTTGGGCTTTTCCTTTTCTCAAACAAATCAAAGATGTGTGACAGACCTGCACCAAACAAGTTTATTAGGACCATTATCCTGACAGCATGTTTTCCCTCTATCTCTGGCACCTTTTGGTACTTCTCATATTTCAAATGTTGCCATAATGCTACTGCACAATGTAAACCTAACATGTGTATGCACTGGGAAACCAAAATATTCATGTCATTCATTTTATTGTGATGAGCTGGAACTGAACCCATAATCTCTCCATGGTATCCCTGTACCTACTCTGTGTATAGAAGCCCTAGTAATGCAAACACAGTTAAGTGTTTGGCTCCTAACCTAAAGTTGATGGTGCAAATATGCTCAGGAGCTCTAGCAATCTGATTCTGTGAAGACTGTAACTGAAAATAGCCTATGGGTCTTAAAAGCTAGTAAGTGACTATCGAAAGTGTAAGTATTAAGTATTCTTCTCTTAAAGGCCAGAGTAAAGAGCAGTAAATAAAATCAATTACTCTTAAGTTTAACAATCATGAATTTCAGTCTCCTGGCTACCTGATGCTACCACTACTGACAGCTCTAAATGGGGTCACATTAGATGATTCCTGATAAAGCAGGGGGAAACTGTGGAACAAAACTCACCTTTATTAAAACAAAAAACCCAAACTGAATGCAGGCTTACTAGTCTGAAAGAGACTGGGAGCACCTCCAGGACTAGGACCCTTTCAAACTTGCAACTAAAATCACTCCCATGCTTCAACACTCAGCTAAACAAAAGGTAGGACTACAGGGTGATCACTGGTGCCAGACAGAAATGCACTCCTTTAGAAAACTCAGTCATATAAGATCAAAGAAAGTTCTGGTCATCTGTTTCAGAAAAGAATTTTTTTTTCAAATGATACTCAAGATAGGAATAAAAATAATCACAACTGTTGTTATGTGCTGTCAAATCGACAACTCATAGTGACCTTATGAACAATAGCTCTGAGTCCTGCCTTGCTATGAGCCAGTCTCACTGTCTTAGATACACCTGCCCCCACTGCCATAAATCAGTGTCAATCCATCTTATCCAGGATCTTCGTCTCCTGCAATGATCTTACAACCTTTCAAGCATGAAGTCCTTCTCCAAGGACTGGTCCCTTCAGGCAACATGCCCAAATTATGTAAGATACAGTTTCAAAATCCTTGCCTCTAAGGAGCAGCCTGGTTTCACCTTCTCCAGGTCAAACCTGTTTTACTACCAAGATAAAATACAGTCATGGGGAGAGGAGATTAAGTTCTGTAATACATACCTGTTTTAATTTAGAAGTTGGGTAATGTGTATCAGTACAACTGCCTTCAAGTTGATTCTAACTCATTCAGACCCCATGTGTGTCAGAATGGAACTGTGCTCCATAGAGAAGTCTCAAAGGGAGTAGCAGGAGATAGAAAAGGGAATTGGAAGAAGATACAAAGGAAGCAGTAGAAAAAAGTGCTGGTGTAGAGTTGGGATTATAATCAATGTCACAAAAATGTGTTATCAATTATTGAATACAGGAAAACTTTCAAATTATAAGTTAAAAAAAACAACCCACCAAACACATATCAACCTATGAAGCAGTTCTGCTATATTACATGGGGTGGCTATGGTCAGAATGCACTCAACTATACCTACCAGCACCTCTGTATATGCCAGCCCTTCTCTTCTCTTATCACCTCCTAACTTGCATTTCTCCAAATAAATATCCCTAGTGACTTTAGCACACAATTTCTACATCTTTCACAATCTTGGTGGCTTTTCTTTAAAGATAAGTCTTCTCAGAATGGTTTCTTTTTTAAGTCTGGCACTCAGAAATAAACACAATAGTCCAATGATTAGAGGTGTGGTAGGACACATCTCAAAGAGCCTCATCTCACTGCAGTCAACCAAAACCTCTAGAGATCTAGCTCTTTAAAGCAGAGAGAGCGCGCCTAGTGGTGCAGCGGATTAAGCATTGGGAGGCCAGCAGAAGTGTTTACACTGGAAAAAAATCACCAGCTATTCCCAGGGAGAAACTGGAAACAGTCGACTCTCATAAATAGCTACAGCCTCAAGATCCTATGGGGTAGCTGTCTCCACTCTGTCCTATAGGGTCACCACACATCACAATCATCATCAGCTCTTCACCATCTGCTACCTTTTAAAAATGGTTCATTAATTATTTAGGAAGAACAAATATCCATGTATACACCATTCAGAATCCCTGTGTGGTGTAAATGGTATAGTAGGTATGACTATTAAGCCACAGAAGTTTTTGGAAGAAAATCCTGGTCTATTTCTGAAAAAATCAGCTACTGAAAACCTACAGAGCACAGTTCCATGCTGGCAGAGAGTCTGAATGACCTGGAATCACCTATCCAGCAATTTTACCAGTACTCATCACCTAACTTAAGAGTTAAAATATCACTATATGTGGATAACTAGTAAGATGAGTTTAAAAGTCCAAAAGGTGAAGGGGAGAGTTGAGGGGTAGATGGTGGGGAAGAGAGGAAATCACCAAGGTAAGAGAGTTTGCAGGGCGGGGGGGGTGTGTGTGTGTGTATGTAGTTAGGAAAGATCCAATAGGGACCTGAAAAGAGGAGGTAATAGTAGGCATACATCACTGGTAATTAATTTTATAAAACACAATACTGAGAAGTGTTTGGTTAAACACAATGCGCAATCATTATATATAATATATACAAATTTTGTTTGCAAATCAATGCAAAATAAAGTAGGGGGGGAACATCGTATGTGTGTAATACTGGACTTTATCTTCTCCCTCACTCCCGTTATTTATAATGCTTGTCATGATCGCTTAAACTATCTTGAATCTTGAGTACTATTTATTTTAAAAAATTTCTTTTGAGTGTCAATCAGTCTAAATTCTCCTAGATCATAAATTATATTCTGAGCTCACCCAACTAAAACAAGCATTACTTCAAGGAGACAAACATAAAATTAGAATGCACCCAGGAATATTTAGGATAAATATCATTGAAAAGTGATGTCTAGTAAAATGAAAGACTGGAAAAAGGATTTTTTTTTAAGTTGAACTTGTTTAGCAATCTTCACAGTGCTAAACTTTTCCAAACTTGATCAAAGGTTTTTCAGCTTTTATTCAAGTTGTTACTTCTTCTGATATTTAATTAATAAGAAATACAAAAGGTTTACACGAGGGTTGCATTTTCCTGATCTCTAACACTGACCAGGCTACTCTTAAGAAGGATTTTGAAGCTCCATCTGACATACTATGGTACGTTGCCAGGAGGGTTCAGTCCTTTGAGCGGGACATAATGCTTGGAAGAGTGGAGGGACAGTACAGGAGAGAAAGACCCTTGATGAGATGAAGTGATTTAGTAATGGGGATAATAGAGGTGTGAGGGAAACAGCGAAATTGTCTCAGGAATAGAGCAGCGTTCAGAGATGTTGTATGTGGGGTCATTATGAGGCACAGGGAACTTGATGGCACATAACAACACTGACCCGGTTGGTTAATTTCTTTTAGAAATCACCTCAAAGTCAGTTAATGATGCATCTGTATCAGACTCATTCTTTGGATATGGCTGCTGCTATGTTCAATCACACAGCATGTCTTACCCTGTTATCTCCTTAGACTCCATTCTTTGCATTCTGCTTTCTATGATCTCTATAAAAGACTTTCATCGAGTTTCACAGCTTCAACTCTTTGGAATCTGTTCATCTTTTCAGACACCTGTTCACATACCTGACTTACAGAAGTCCATCTCTCTCCCCAGTTACCAAACCAGCTTTCCAATTGTAACTTTTGTAATCCTTTTAAGGACACCATTCCCAAAGACTGTTTGCCTCTTCTCTGCTCCCTAAATTTGGTTTCCAGCACTCACTCACTTTCCCTCCTACTGTAGTATTCAAGACTTGTTATCAGGATGCAATCAGAATGTTGCTTGATTAATTCCAGGACCATCACACCCCAACTCTAAGACTCTTCTTTTTTTTTTTTAATAATTTTTATTTCTTTATTTTGAGTACCGTCAAATTGGATCTGACTGGTACAGGAGGCGATTGTTCCTCCTTCAGCAGAGCATCTGGTGGACTTGAACTGCGCACCTCTGGGATTGCAGTGCAGTTTACTGCCACTAGGCCACCAGAGCTCACCAAGACTCTTCTTAAAAATCATTACTTCACTAGATGCCCAATTGATGTTTATACCTCTAGTTTAGCCTGTATAACTCTAAGCTAGCTTCTCCTATCTCTACTTTTTCCATATATGGTCTCTAGACTTACTTTCTAAACCCATTTTTGGTGTCTTTCTCCTGCCAGAAAAATGAAAAATAATTGAACTCTAGCCATTTCATCTCTAATTTTGTGTTCTAATAATTTACTGTAACTCTCAATTTAAGTTTCCAAGTTGCCTTCCTTTCCTTGTTTTTTAATGACCACTATCTCCACCACACACACACACACACACACACACACACACAGAGAGAGAGAGAAAAGTAGATATAGTACTGGTTCTCATAACCAGGTCTTTTTAGTCTTAGGATCCCGGGATTACTTAATAGAGCGAAGTAACATATGCAAACAGTCATTTGTCAAAAGTTATGAGAACTTAGCCAAAGAAAGCTGGTAATGTTTTTCAGAATTTATTTAGACTGTGAAGTCTAATGTGGAAAATTGCTAGTATTTCTTCACAAAGAAACACAATGCACAATTATAAAGACCTATAATTAAGACTTTTCTTTTTCTCAGTGAACCTTTAAAATAATCACCTGTATCACACGTCTGCTCAAGCCTGTCCTTTCTGCCAGCTTCTGGAGGGTCTGTGCATCTGGGTTGTTGTCCTGAGCAAATTGTGCTTGCATAACCTGTTTAAAAAAATGTAGGGAGTAAATACCTAAAAATGAACAACTTAGTCTCCTGCATTCTTAAGACGCATGAGAAAAGACATACACAAGAAAATGAGCTGCTTGTATTTTATTACTTGAAAATCAACACAAGGGAAGTACATATGAAAAATATTTTATACATTTACACAAATTTCTAATGCTTACTTTTCTTTAAAAAATGTCTATCAACATAAAAGCTTGTCTCTCTTTTATGCAGTTAAAAAGGCATTCATCTTTATCCCTCCTTCTAACCTACAAGAAAATGCATAAATAGCTTAAGTCTTACTTGTGACTTTTTTTTTGGTGAAAAGCTGCCAGCCAGCATTAAAATGCTTCATAACATAAAAAAACCATATTTAGCCCTAGCCCTTGTAGAACTACAAAAGATTCAAGAACTCGATGTAATCTTTACTGGTCTCCAAGTATTATGCAACTCAACAGATGAATTTCATTTTATTGTAATAGTTCTGTCATTGTTTTAAGCATTTACTAAATGCAAAGAAGTATCTGGATTCTTAAGGCAAGTTATCTGCCAGCCCACAGAATAAGAATTTCCAGGCACCCAAGCATGTATACACAGAAAATTTCCCAAGTGATTCTGATGTGATCCTTTTGATTGAAAAAATACCCTAGGTACTGGGAGAGAGTGATACATCAGAGGAAAAGGAGGAACTCAGTTTCTCAAGAAAAGTATCTAAACATTTCAACAGAATTCTACCTAAAACACATGGCAAAAGAGCACACAGGAAAGACCAGAGAGGGTTACCACAACAAAAATCACAAGAGGTGTGGATCTTTTTAATTATTATAGGATGAAGATGGGTACTTGAATTTTACTTCTCGATAGCTGATCAATGGATGTGTTTTAAGGCATGAGCAAGTGAGAGCCTGGTATTCAACTTGGCTGAATTGGTCTGCAGTCAGGGGAGGAGGGTAGCCAACTGCTGACCTCAACCTACATCCTTTCCAACAAGCAAAATTATATGTACTGTCCACTATGCTCTCCATATAATAATATCGTCTACCTACATTGTCATAGTGCAGTGAAATACAGTACTTTGAAAGTCTAGCTCTACAGAGCAGAATGGAAGTTCTCTGAGGTTAAAAGGATTGCCTTATTCTTTCTATGCCTTCTTTGTATTTCACATTTATGTATTCACATTTGTGAATTTTGTGACAGAATATTCGTGACAGAATAAATCTGAAGATAGTGTGGAGAAGACAATTAGTATTGTCCTGGGAACCTTTAACAGACTTACAAATTTTATTTTTCCTTAAGTCTCTAATTTTCAACTCTTTTAGGTTAAGATATTCCAGAAAAATCTTATTCAGCTGTATCAGAACCATATACTCAGTGTGAATAGTCTAGAAATTTTTTTAAATGAACAGAATCAATTTAAGAGATTATAATATTGCTCAGGTCATTTTCATCTTCTTTTCTTATGCCAAATGTGTTATTTTAAAAAGTCATGTGTGAATAGAATTATGTTTCTATACAATTGAGAAAGGTCTCAGAAAAGAACAAATGATGTCTAAAGTTTTTTCAAAGAAAGAGTCTAGACAGGTATTTGGGGATTTAATTGAAAAAGTCATCATTGATAATTTATAAAAGCAAAAACAGTATGATTTTCACAAATGCATTTCAAGTTCATTAAGTTTAATAATGGAGCAAAATCATGGTTAATAAAACTTCTCAAAGACTAAAGCAAAATATCAGTCAACACAGATTGTTCTGCATTATAACAAAATGAAATAAAATGTGCTTGCTGATTTTCTTTTAATAGTGCTGTTTTCATTTAACAGAAAAATCTTCTAATTTCTACTTCATTTCACTATTCTCCACTCTTGCTGCTGAAATCTATTTTACTTCTTTCACTCTTCTAATGTGAAAAGTGAACCTCCAAAGACATTTGTCACTAAGGCCAGAAGGTCTACCTGAATTTTCAAGAGTCTACATGAGGCACCTGTCTAGAACAGCAGATTAAAGCAGTTGTTAACATTGGCATGCTGAAAATAATCACCTCCCAACTACAATTAGGAAACCACAATATTTTCAGGAAATTTTTAAGTATCTCTTCTCCAAGCAAAAGACACTATCTCAAATATTTTTCTACCACATCCTGTGGATCCTAAGTGTTTCTCTTCTTTGAAATGTGCAAGTAGGGAGCTCTGGTGGCTTAGTGGTAAGGAGCTCCACTGATAATCCACCGGAATATGATTTGAATCTACCAGCCATTCCATGGGAAAAACATGAGCATTTTCTTCTCTGTGAGATTTATTGTCTCTGAAAACCTGATGGAGGGTGGTCAGCTATAAGAAAGTTCCAACTTAACAGTACACAACACCACTTTTAAAAAAGTAATTTTGACAAATTATTGTGTGTTTTCCTTTCACTTTGGTGGTAAGGAGTGGCACTGTCAAATCAAAGGCAGGCAATCCAAATTCACAAGCTGCTCCATGGGGGAGAGGGGAGCAATCTCCTCCAGTGCAATGTCCAGCCTCTTAAAATTCCATGGAAGTTTAGCTTTTTGTTATATGCCTTCGAGCTGTAACCAACTCTTAGCTAACCCTCCAATGGGTTTTCATTAAATCACACAGGAAAAGATTGCCCATCTTTCTTCCATGGAGTAGTGAGTGGATGAACTGTGAGCCTTTGCATGGGCAATGCCATTCCTTAATAGTAAGGCTCCAGAGCGTTCTTGAGGTACACAACAACTACTCTCATCGTTCTTTCATGTATAATATTAACTAATTTTCTGTTCACTTATGTTATTTTGTTCAATTCAAATACTACTTGAACATACAGTTTTCAGATAAAGTAATTTGAGGGTCTGGCAAAAACAACCAAAACAAAAGAAATCCCAGATTCCTAAATTAGAAAGAACTGAGGATTGTGTCACATTTTATTCAATCATCCTAGGTATAAAACAGATGTTAGTAAATATTGGGGAAAAAAAATGAAAGCATTTTCTGTAAGCATATTTTCTTTCCTTTTTTAATAGTTTGTAATTTTGATAAAACCTTACGATTCTGACCACAATAATCCACAACTTAAATTATGTTTGCAATTTAAAATTCAGAAGGTTATCTACAAGATTCAGAATTGCATTTGCTGTTTTAGCTGTTGCGTCCATTAAGAGTTTTGTTAAAGCTAAGTTGTATAGTCTCCTGGGGAGATCATACAAAACAAAAAGACCATGGAATGAAAAAAGATTTGGCAAATAGACTCAAACTCTTGTCATTTCTTTCAGGAATGATATTTATATTAAGGAGTATATCTTAACTTTGGTGTCCTGCCTTGAGAAGGAAGTTCTTGTACCTCTTAGTGGGGCATTATAAGGAATTATTTCAAGAGTCCCAGGAGATTTGTTTGTATGTATGTATGTATGTATGTGTGTGTATATATATATATAATGCCTAAAATAGAATTTAACACACAAAAATCTCAATATTGTTCCTTTTTATTTAAGCAGTGCTTGCTGAAACTCAGGACCTGAAATGCTTGCTGTAGAGGGTCAAGGACTGCTCCCTTTAATATGGATTGAAGCTCAACATCAAGAAAAAGTTTCTCACCACTGGCTTGATAGGCAGCATCACGAAAGATGAAGTGATTGAAACTGCTGCCAGCTTCAGTTTGCTTGGCTCTAGAACCACAGCCATGAAATTAAAATACAAATTGCACTGGGAAAGTCTGTTGCCAGAGACCTCTCCAAAGTACTGAAGAGCAACAATGTCAGTTTGGAGACTAAGGTGCACCTGATACAGGCCATGGTCTTTGCAATTACTTGCTATGCATCAGAAAGTTGGGAAATGACTAGGGATAACAGGAAAATTGATGCCTTTGAGCTGTGGTGATAGAGAATACTGAATATACCACAGACTGCTAGAAAAACAAACAAGTTCATCCTGGAGAAGGTGAAGCCAGGCTGCTCCTTGGAGGCAAGGATTCTGAAGCTTCATCTGACATACTTTGGACATGTTGCAAGGAGGGATCAGTCCTTGGAGAGAGGCATCATGCTTGGGAGGATGGAAGGACAGTTCAAGAGAGGAAGACTTGATGAGATGGATTAATCTGGTGACTGGGGTAATGAAGGTAGGTATGTCAGAGACAATAAGATTGGCACACGATAGATCGAGGTTTAGGGCTGTTGTACATAGGGTTGCTATGAGTTGCAGGTGGCTTGATGGCACATAAAATCTACAATCACCTTCCTATACAAGATGTTACATGTTTAAAGCAGTCGAAAAAATAAATAATTATAATTTTAGTAATAATTCTCTGAAAATTATCAGAATTGTAATTACAGCTAGAACTACATGGGAATAAAACACTATAAAAAATATATTTCTAGTTGGGATTATATTCTAACCCAGCCATCTTTTAGCTACTAGATATTTTGTTTGATCTTTCACATGCATCTTATCCCCTAACTCAGGGTTTTATGTCATGATCATTCTCAAAAGCCAAGTTCAAAACAGGTATTTCTTTGAATTTTCTTATTTTTCATTCATTATTAACCATGTATTTTATTTCTATATTAAGAAACCAGAAACATCTCTTTGGGAATTTTCTCCAGTGGACTTAGATTTATTGCCAGATTTTTATCCAGTGTCATTTAATTCCCTTTGGAATATCTGTATCACATCAGTATTTTCAGTATTTCATCACTCATCAGTCTCAAAATGAAAATTCTCTCTTGAAATCCTTTTACTGCATTCATCTTAAACACTGGCCCATCTCTGAAATCACGTATTACAAAGTCGTTTTGAAAAAAAAATCCCTTTTTTAACATTGTATGACTGTCCTGACGTAAATGCATAGTGTACATAAAGCATCCAGCAGTGCTTGGTACAGGGTAGGCACTCAAGAAGTTATTTTACCTTAACACAAAACAAATACCTCAGCCACATTAATATTTCAGTAAATATAACTATGAGGTGGATTGATTCAGTGACTGGGATAATCGGGATGGGAGTGTCAGAGACAGTGTGCTTGGCACAGGACAGAGCCGAGTTTAGGGCTGTTGTACATAGGGTCGCTATGAGTCGCAAGCAACTTGATGGCACATAACAACAACAATTTTGTTATGGGGAAAAATTCAAGAATATGTGTGTATAAAAATGAAGCAAGGTGTAATGACTATTTTCTTGACAATGTGTATAAATCAAAATTATGACAACCATATTTATATCTAGGGTAGATATACTGAAAATAATCCCTCCAATTTCAAGAGGCATAATCAACCTTTAACACCAAATTATCAACTTGCTTCCTCTACCCTTTAAAAACAATCCACTTTTCTAGAATCATCAGCAAGGTTTCTACTTATGGTGAGGTATATTCAATTATTTCTTGCTCAGAAAACACAGCCTTGTCCACTAAAACCTGATTGCTTTTTGCTTAAAACATCAATACATCAGTGTCCTATAGACCCATATACCATGTATCTTTTTCTTTTAAGAGTCATAAAATACTTTATCTTCTATTGGAATTACAGGTAGTAATGTAAATTGTTGAGTTAAATTTATTTTATTGGGAAGTTAGGACAGATGACAATTTTGTTTCCACTTTAATTTTGATATCAACAGATCTCAAAGGAAAAAAGCTTTAACAATTAGTTTATGTCATGATTCTGAAAATATTGGTAAACACTTCTGGTCACTAAGAATTCTTTTCATACATCCATTGGGTGAGTTTCACAAAAGGCATAGGCCTAATCTTTTCAACAACAAATATTTCTAGGTAATATGGAGATTGTAAGATTTGTTGTTCAGTTTCTTTGTTTCTGTTTTTGTTTTTTTTGTTTTTTAATTCAGGAGGGGTTTCCAAAATCAGAAATTCATTGTGAAGTCTACCTGGAGCTGATCTGCTGTAAAGCTGGTCCGAGCTCTTTTTGCTGGTTTTGGATGATTAACATCTTGCTCTGTTAGTAGAGCACCTTCCACACTAATCCCATTACCTGCATTTAAAAAAAAAATCAAAATAAAACAAAAAGCACCCACAAGATTCACATTGGGAACTCAAGAGACCACCAAGCAAACAATAATGGGATTCTTGAATCTCTCAGCTCCCAATGAAACTGTATACATATTCTGAATTGTAAAACCCTTTAAGTTTTAAAACAAACTACAAATAGAGTTTGGAAACAATTTTCCATTTATAGGCATGTATGTTTAGTTAAATGTGCAAAAAGTTTTAAGTCTACATCTACAGCTTATCCTTAGGAAGGCAAATATAGGGAAACAACTGGTTATATAAAGAAAAGCAGAGCTTTAATTCAAGGCTGTTGCCCAAAAATATGGCAGAAGTCTCATACACACAGCCAAGCTTTCCATGTATATGAACAGATGGAGAACATCACCAACAGTGGAGGCCTTAATAGGTTTTACCACAACAAACTGCAAAACATAAAACCTTATGGAATCCTTAGGAAAAATAATTTTTATCCTTATATTCACAAAAGACTTAAAGGTATTTTAAGTATATATTTACCATTTTCCACTTCTCTTTTTAAATTATCCAGCATGCAGTCATAATGAACTCTGCAGAGAACTTTCTCTTCCACCAAAGCAAACTCTTCTCCCGTGGAAAGCTGCCTTTTACAGGAAAAGCAGGCAAAGCATGCCAGGTGATAGACATTTCCCTTGGCCCTCCGGACCCAGTCAGTAGAATGAATGTGCCTCCCACATCGAGAGCAGCGAGTTCCATACCTTCTATACAGTTAACAGAAGGATAAGAGTCAACGTTTTAATGCTTGGCGAGATACTCATCAGATGAAGATTAAACTAGCACATTATGTTACTCCTTGAATTAACCCAGGTATTTAATCTGTTGAAAATGAAACAGGATTCAAGTCTTCTACAAGTCAATACGGTAAATAATTAAGACATGTTTGGGACACAATTGAAAGCTACTGGATAAAAATAAAACCTCATTATTCTATGAAAAAAATGGATTTCCCCCTTCTTAATAAATGGAATAGAATTCTTAACAAATAATGCATTTTAAAATTTACATAAAGATTCAAGATGCACACTCCAGGTTGAAAACACATTAAGTGCAAAAAATACACCAAGTGAAGATTAACATTACAAATAGTAAAATTTCTAAAACAAAGCTGGAATTCTGAAATTAGAAAATTATCTGTGAATATGTCTATGCATTTATTATATAGAAAGAACTGAGGTATATACATAAAAAATAGTACATATATGTAGAATTGATAATACTAATCTATAAGTAGAGGTTCTTCAACCCATACATGAGCAAAGTATGAATGTTTCTTTTGATTAAAAAAGTAATTGCAATGTTACCCAAAACTTTCAGAAACATCTGCATATTAAAATGTAGGTTTTAAAGTTAAAACTAGGTGGAAAATGTAAAATATAAAGTACTTAATGCTCTCTAAGTAGCTAGAATTATTTTATAGTCTAACACCCAGATCAAGTGAGATTAGTACATGTGTCTTATTTCTATTCATTAATAAATGCTCAAGAGTTCACATTAAGTTACTCTGAAAAACTTAACCTTGATTTAAGAGTACAAGAATATATGAAGCAACTATTAAGATTCCTAAAGAACTAGATTTTAATAATTAAGTTTTAAATTATCATAAAAATAATAAGAGCAAAATCATTGAGGAAAAATGGGAAATAAATAAATTTTTGCTAATTTTAATATTTTGAATCTAAAAAATCATGACAATGAAATGTTTTAAATGACTCAACAATTCAATTCAAGAAATTAAGTTCTGGATAAATTTTTTGGAGTATATAAAGTTAATTCTGTAGACTTCACTATGTTTTATTAATTTACACCTTTCACAATGAATTTTTTTATTTCAAAGTGCAAATGAAGAAAAAAATGTAGCATTTTAGAAAGTCATGGTTAAAAATTATTTCAATTTCTGGAAAGCTATTCACAAAGAATTAAATTGTAACCTTACTGAAACTTCACATGTAGACTGTTCCAAAGAGAGGACACAGAATGTTACATTTAAAATTGTATCCAAGTATAAATTCACAAAACAAAGCTCAAAGACAAAAGAAAATATTTTCAGATATATTAGACCTGGTTTATTTATGAAATTGGTTCTTTAAATTAGTATATCACAATCTCCAAATTATAAAGGCTTAAATTACAGATTTTTCAGTTTTGTTAACTGGCAACAAACGTTTAAAATCTTGGCATTTTTCCCCCCTCACTGGGAATTTTTTGTCTTACTACTTCCTCCTAACTAAGGCACTTTGTCACAGTAAGTCATCTGGTAGTTCATATTTTGTACCAAGACAAGACACAACCAAAAAGGGGAGAGGAGGGTTCCGTTTCTAAATACCTAAAATAGTCATCCCCAATGTAGAGATAAATTATTTTCATTAACATACTGAATTACATAGGGGGTAAATATGGTTATTTTATTATTTTACTAAAGATTGTATCTCAAAGAAATGAAAGCTTTATTTTCAAAGACCACTGCAAGTTATGTGCCATCAAATTGCCTAAGATTCATAGTGACCCTATGCACAATAGCTATGAATGCTGTCCTATCTGTCTCCAACACGCCTGCCTCTATTACCAGTGTCACTGTTTCAATCCATCTCATCCAGGGTCTTCCTCTCCTTCGTTGTCCCTCCACCCTTCCAAGCATGATGTCCTTTTCCAAGGACTCTCCCTCCTGACAGCATGCCCAGAGTATAGATGGAACTTCAAAATCTTTGTCTCTAGAGAGTTAAGTTGGTTTCACCTTCTCTCTCCAGGACAGGCCTGTTTTTTCTCTTGGCAATGCCTTATGTCCACTGCATAGGTAAAACAAATAAGCCTGAAAAGGTCTCTCTCCATCTCTTTGGGATGAAAAACTCAGAAGGTCTGTTTTATGAATAAGTAGTTTCATTATTATGAGTCAAGTATGACTCAGAGCAACCCTAAGAACCACATTATCTGAACCTTGCCCTATATTGTACCACCCTCACTATCTCTGATACACTTGAATTCACAGTTATAGTAGTACCTGAAATAATCAAGTTTGCAGAAAATGTCTTTATCTTTAATATAACAGCTGGTATGCCTTCCTAAGGAGGTCCTGCAGACACTGCATGAGAGACAGCGGACATGCCAGCAAAGGTCATTTACCTGGGAAGAAGAAAGGCAGGTTAAAAAGCCATTCTATTACCACAAAACAGTATTGGCTGATTTTATGCACTAGCAATTTTAAAAGCTGAGCCCTTAATATTAACACATTCTCTGAATATTTTCATCTAAAAGGAGCAATTACAAAATAGACATCTAAAATAGACATTTAAGATCTCAACGTCAAAATGGTATTAGTATATTCCACATTTGCAGTTTTTATATTTTGGGGTTTGTTTTTTGGTTTTTTTTTTTTTTAATTCCTTTGAGGAATTTAGAATATCCTCTTGTTAAATTGAACCTTCATGAACAAAGCAATAATGTGTATCCTAAAGACAAGATTTCTTTCTTTCTTTTACTATGAAATTTGGTAGCTGAAGAAAGCAAACCACACACCTTCTCAACCTACTTGTTGGCCAAATAGTTACAACCTGAGATTCAAATGAGAGACAGAGAGAGAAAAGGAAGTGGGCAAAGCTTTGTAAGAGGAATTTTTACCCTTCTAAAGAAATAATACAACCATTACCCTCCAAAACAAAAACTGGTAGGGTATATTTAAATAGAGATGACAGAAGTATTGTTTCCTTCATTAGCTATGTGTAGAGAACTGTAGAATCTTCAGAATATTGTTTAAACTGCTTTGGGTACTGGCTGGAACAAAATAAGCCTAGTTTTGCAGGATTCAAAAAAAGTATCTAACCATTTCTCCACATTTTCATTTCAAGTAGTATACCTTAAAATGTTAGATACAGCGCAGTGATATATACTTTCTGAATAGGTACAATTAAGGGAATAAATCACAATTATTCTCATTTTAAATTGAGGTGCTCATACTAAAAGTACAATTTTGGTTTTAAAGAAGACTGTTACACTGTCATAAAGAAAAATCTATGTAATGATTCTGGTTAGAACCACCCTCACATGCTTTTCTGTGATATAAAATATAAAGGGTACTAAGAAACAAAGAGAAACACTATCTATTTAAAATTATACAAACATTCATGAAAGTGTCATTTATCAATATATTTTCTGAGTTTCTGGGTTCTGGTCTTGCTATCCAAGAGTTACATGCTTACTATAAGGGGAGGAAAAAAGGAAAGAAATGTAGGGTTTGGTTTGTTTTTTTTTTTAATCTGACAAAACTAAAAAGACTAACAAAACACTTTTTTTCTGAAAATATGTATATATTAACAATGTAAAATGCTTGTCCTGAAAGTAAAAATCTATTTCTGTTCTATTTTTTCCTAACACCAAAACTGTGATAGCATGTAGAATTCCCCTTTTGTATTCCATTCTGTAAGGCTTCCTATATTTTGATCTTCCTATATTTTGATCCACAATTGTTTTGTTTGCAGCAAGGGTAGATTCAGGCTTCAGAGGCAGTCAGGTCTTTTCTCTGATCAAGTTAGGCCCTAAACCTAGTTTGCTAATATTCCTCCAAGCACTAAAAAAACCCAAAAACCAAACAAACAAATGAAAAAAAAAACCACACAAACCCAAACCCCCAAAACTTTGCCTTTCATTTCTTTGCCAGGGAGAAGTAATATAAAAAGAATATTCTAGATGTCATCTATGTCACCTGATAACTGAAGTATACTGAAATCTAAGATTAACATATATACCAAGCCATGGGGGGGGGGAGAAACAAACCCAACACAAAAACAAACATGGCACTGGAGGATTAAAGAGAGCAGTAATTACATTCAATTTGTACTTTTCCAGTCTAATGTCATTTTATCTTCATTAATACATCTACATAAACACATTCTCAAGTACAACGTCTATACTAGGTCAATTATTTTTGAGCTGTGATTCGGACTGAATTCAAACGTATTAGAAACAAATCTAAAAAAGTTATAAACTTAACATTCTTATACAATTATTTAGTATCAAATTTCTGTGAGAAGTAGTATTTTATACAACACAAATACTGAAAGTGTATTTAATATCTAAAAAATGATCCTCAGGAATTATTTTCTTGATTTCAGAAGAGTTTGTTATGGGTCACTCATAACCTTTTTATCTTCTCAGCTATCAAGTGCTAGTCTTAACGATGATGCTAGTTACTGAGGGAGCTCATTGAAAGCAGCCATCAAGAAACTAAGACAGTTTTAAAACACAAGAACATCTCAGAAATGTGGGCTCCATTCCAGACTTTAGCAATAGATGGAGTCACATAAACTTCTGGTTTCCCGCATATAAAAGTTATGTTCACACTAACTAGTCTATTGTATGTGCAACAGCAATGTGAAAAAAATTAAATATTGTAAGACTCGCCAAAATGTGGCATACAGGAAGTGAGCACATGCTGTTGTGGAAAAAAGCATGGATAGACTGGCTACAAACGTTCAGTTTGTTAAAAAAAATAAATAAAAGCACCAAAGTGAAGTTAGACAGTAAGGTATGCCTGCATCCAGAACACTTGATTCTAGAAATCCTGAAGATGAAATTTAAAGAGAAAGCCAAACTGCCAATTTTAAGAATTTACACCACTGAAGATTAATCAGTTTTCACATTTTCATTAGGACTTCTTTCAGCACTTTATCTGGGGTGTACAGTGGGTTTCATCCTCCTAGAAAAACCTGCTGCTGTGAATCTTCAAGCAGAAACTTAAACTCATTAGCTTCCTGATTGAAACTCACTGGCTTCATAATGAATCCTCGTGGGGGAGGGGCAGTTCTAAAAGTGAACTCATTCGCTATTAATTTTGTTTAAGATTCTAAAACTATTAAATAATGGCTTTAAAAAGTTACTGAGGTTGAGAAACCATGATATGAGGGACTACGGGAGCATGAACTTGACGCAATGACATGAATGAATGTGACCTCAGAATTTCTATCCCAAAACTCCACAACATTGTAAGGGAAAGTAAAACAAATTAAGATAGACAGTCAACTCTCAAACCACCACTTGAAGCTCTTTATCCCAAGTTTTTTCTAGCTTTAGATCAATTTTCATTTGTTTTTCAAGCACGGAACAGGGTATTGGGAGGCCTGGTGGTGCAGTAGTTAAGCACTCCTCTGTTAAAAGAAGTCTGCAGTGTGAACCCACCAGCCAGTCAAGGAAAACAAGACAGTCGGCTTTGAGAAGTTTAAAATCTTGGCTACCCTCTGAGGCAGTTCTACTCTATCCTACATAGTGCCAAGAGTCGAAATTAACTTGCTGTCAATGAATTTATTTTTATTTTAGAGATGGCATCAAAAAGAGCATTGCGGGGTATTTTTAAAGTCTAAAATAGCAAGAAGTTACAGATAAATGCTACTTTACCTTTCCCCCCCCACCACATTGGAAAAGCCTCAGGTAACTGCAAATAAAACTTTTTAAAAAATCTGCCCAGAGAAGATTTTGCAAGCAGGTTATAGTGGTTCTTTCTGAAGGAGATACTGCCACTTCTGAAGGAATCGCCTACCCTAACCTGGAACTTTTACAAGCAGGCGGTTATTTGATCACTTCACTTCAGAAAAACAAATATTTTAATGAAGTGATAACCGGGGCCTAGGAAGGCCCCTATTTCTGAACGATGGCGTTTTCCTCGCTTCTTTCCCCGTCTAAGTCGGGGCTTACTCCACACAGTCACCCTGCAAAAAACACTGCTCTTCTAGACCTCCATGTGCCTGTCACGCACAAGTTGCTTTTGCAGAGACTCTTCACCGCAGATATCATCCTAGACTGGGGCAATTTGTGGGGTCTCGAGCTCGGAAATAACAGGAGGGAGGGGGTCTGCTTTCCCAGGGCTCCCACGGCACCCCGACTCCCTCGGGGTAGGCCCCGCCCTACCTTAAGAAGGTACTTGTCCACGATGTCCAGGCCGCAGCTGTTGCATACACACTTGCCAGGGGGGCAGCCGGAACCCGAGGCCATGGACCGGGGCGACGACGACGGCGACAGCGGGGCCGAGGAAGAGCACGAGTCCTCGTCGCCCGCTCCCTCGGGACTCACCTGCAGGAGACCAGGAGCCGCGGTCGCCGGTGGCTCTAGACCCCTCCTACCGCCCATTCCACCGCCGCCCCTCCCTCTGCACAGCACACCCCCCTCGTGGAGGTCCACGAGGTCCCCAGGGGTCCACGCTCTGCTCATGCACCCGTCGTGGTCGCCGACCCCTGACCAGCCCACCGCGCTTCACTACGACCTGGCCGGCTCCAGACCTTGCCTCCAACCGCGCCCCTAGGGGTCAACCGGGTCTGGAGGGCGGGGGCGGGGGGAGCCCAAGGGCGGAGGCCCTGCGTCCGGCACCTCCTCCCCACTGCGAGTTCTCCGGCTCCCGCGCCACTCACCAGTCCCCCGTCCCCAGCGCCTTTCCGGGTCCTCCCGGCCGCCGGGGCTGCCGTCCGCCCGCACTCCTCCGACATGAGCCCCGGGCACTGCAGGGAGAGAGGTGAAGGGAGAGGAGAGAAACAGAAGTTCACTGCGGGCACGCGCCGCCCGAGGCTCGGCTTCCCGGCGCGGGGGGCGGGCTAAGGCAGGCCCCCTGCGCGCCGCGCCACGCGTGCAGCCGTCAGGGCGCCGGGGCCCCGGCGCAGCGCGCAGCCTCCCTCGCGGCGGGCGGGACACAGACCCGGCGCGGAGAGGCGCCCACCGCGCTAGGCGAGCCGCGCCGCGCCGCGCTCCCCAGCCCCCGCCCCGCGCCGGGGGTAACGAGTTAATAACAATCATCCCTGCACGAAGCATTTTCTTTCTAGACGTCAATCACCGAGGAGCGGGGATCACCCGGCTGGGGCGGGGGGGTGGGAAGTGCGTGGAAAGAAAAGAGAATTGAGGAGGGGGTGGGGGACGAAACTTGATTTCTTTAATCACCTCAATTAAAAGAGCAAGACATATACGTATATTTTTAAAAGGAGGCTTTTTAAAAGGTGAAGAGGTTTAATAGGATACTTGAAAGTTAATTACGGCGGGATTTAAGGAGCCTGGTGTTTGTTCCGATGACAATTTGAATGAAAATGCTTCAGATTTAACCGAGCCAGCAGCTCTTTGGTAAACTTGCAGCAATTAGAGCCACGAGTAATTTACACTCGTTTCTTTAAGGTGTAAATTGCCACTTATTGCTCAGTAAGTCAACATTTGAGCTACTAAAGGATTATTTTTAGCCAACGTAAAAAGCGGGTCGAATAATGGAAATATCCAGCTGAATTTAATGCGTGCCATTTAAAAAAACCAAAAAACACCCTCACCCAAACCCGAGCTCAGTCAAAATGTTTTTAAAGCAACAACATGCGTTACTCTGTATCCAAGCCTTTGCTGGAGTTTTAGTGTTGAACCAAAACACAGCCTTTGTAGCCTTGTTCTGCCTTCGTTTACGAAGGCCCACGGGGGCTGCGACTGGGGAAACCTCTGAGCGCCCCACACCTCCACATTTTGATTCTTCCCCTCCCTTCTCCCCTTCCTCCCGGTAGCACCGAGCAAGATCCCGTCGGAAGCGGGTTCTCCTCGATCCTCCGTGGAGACGCAGCGTGACTGAGCGAAGGCCGCGTCCGCACAGACCCAAAGAGGTTAACACCCAAAGCCTGCTGTCGCGGGGAGCACAGAGATAACGTTCCAGTGCTGAGCCCTCCCCACTCCTTCCCAAACAGGCTACAGGTGATTTCCCAGCTTAAAACCGAGACACCCACGGGGCTGGGCTCCGGGGAGAAGGGAGACCTTGTCAGTTTCTCCTATCAATGTGTTTGACCCATCAGTGTGTGCGCCAAGTGTTTGCTTTTTCTTCTCCATCGTCTTGCTTTGGTCTGAATGGCCCTCCTGGTCAGTTCTAGGCAATCCGGAGGCCTTCTTAAGAGCCACTTCTCACTGGGTCTATCCCAGGGTCGCGATCCCCGGGCAGCGCCGGGCGCCCTGGTGCGGGAAGTGCGCCCTGGGCCCGCACGCATCCGCTGGAGACCTGGCTCTTAAAGCAGGGTCTCTGGCCCCACTTTGGCAGTCACCCTTTCCAACCAACCCCTCGTCCCTGGCCCGCCACGACCACCAGGGCAAACAACAAAAGCACGACTCACATGAACCCGAGGGCGCCTTAGGCACGAGGCTTCGTCTCCCAAATTACTGTCTCCATGCCTCAGGTTAAGTGAGCTTGTGGGGAGGGGAAGCAATGATTACTAACTAACGCTACGACGTAATTTAAAAAAAAAAAAAAAAAAAAAGCCACGGTTGACGCTAAGGGGCTGCAGGTAATCTCCCAACCTCATTTAAGAGCACAAACAGCTCGCGTTTCAGGGAAAACTGCGACTCAGCTGGTCTGGCTAGGCGTCGGGTTGCTCACCTTCTCAGCGGAAACTGCCAGCTCCGGCACGTCCTTTTCTTCTAGTTTACACACAAACATCTGATCGCTCTTCCAATACATGGCACTGCAAGGGCTGCTTGTCACATACCAACTCAGGAGGGTCAGAGGCTGTCCGTGTCTGCAGAGCTCCCCGCCCCCCGGCCCCAATCAATGTGCGAATAAGAGGAGCTGACACTGAGGCTATGAATGCGACGTGCAAGTCTTACTCCTAAGAGGCCTCTCCAGTCTCTCTGATGGACTGTTCTTTCCCAACTTCGCTGAGGTCTGTCCCTCCACGAAAGGGGGAACAGAAAAAAAAAAGTTTTGTTTTCTAGAGGGTGGAACCTTATAAAAAAAAAAAAAGAGGCAAGGGGGTGTGGGGGGAAGAGTCTTTTCCTGGAGAAATAGCCTCACCTCTTTAGAAAACCCGCCTTCTCTACATGTTAAGATCTTTATCAGGACGAGTCAACTTATTCCAGGTTTAGTATTAAGGGGGGGGGGGAGAGGGTAGAATGGGAAAGGCCTGTTAATTTCTGAGTTAGGAGGAGAAAACTCCTTTCTGCATTTGCCTTCGTTTTCTCTCTCACACACCCCCCCACCTCCCACCTCCCCCAGCAAAACCAAACAAAGATTCAGGTTACATCTCTTTCTGCAGCAAGCAGAAGGGAAAACGGAGGTCTGGGTGACTTGAACGTTGATTCAGTCATGCTGCTGACGCTCGGGGCTCCCCTGGCTAAACGGGGCGCGCGAGGGCTGCCAGCAGCCTCGTGTTTATCTAGAGGTTTCGCACTCCCCTTGAGAAGAGAGTTCTCATTAAGATAAAGAAGGGCCATCTGAGCAGCACAAAAGTTAAGCATTTGCTGCTGGATGTGAAATCAAGGTTACAAGAAAGAAAGGGGGAATAAAGTACGTTACTAATGACTAATGATACTCTTTCACTTCCTACTGGTCAAAACCGGAAAGCCCTAGAAATGGTCCTCAGCTGCCTCAAGTTTTGACTGTGGGTGAGGAATGGGAGAATTCTCAGAATTCTATAATTTTGATTATAGTTGAAGCATGTTTTTGTTTAAAGAGCTGCTTCATCGTCCGTATTTTATTTCATTATGTAATGAATGAAGGGAAATTTAGTGAGAGGCTATGTTAAAAAACTGGACTTTTCACTCTCAATTTTTCCTTTTTAGGAATCAAAAGTATCAGAATGCCTGGGGGGTCTCTAGTTTTTTAAAGCTCTTTTACACAATCATGTGATGCTGCTTCAATTAGATATATGTGCATACATGCATGCGTATTTGCACATCTTTAACATATACGAACCTCGTTTGATTAGAAGAGTCAATTCCATGTTTTGCCGAGCTGGGTTAGCAGCAGCGCCAGCAGAGGGAGGAAGGCAGAATTTTCAGAAATGAAATCAGGACTACTGCAAACTTAGTTTTCCGTCGAATGCTCTTTTCTTCCATAAACATGAAGGTCGTTGGAGCGTTTCCTATCGCCATCCCCCCCCCCCCTTTTCACGCTGTGGCGCACGCGTTAATATTAGCCAGCGGCTTGTCAGTCCTCTGAGGAGGATCGTGTTTAAGTTTATAGGGATTGAGCAGGATACACTCTGATTAATTTGTGACCTCTTCCATTAGAGAATTGGAGTGGACCGGCTTCTTGAACAGCTAACCTGTACGCAGAGCATGGAGACGCTTGCATTTTTCATCAAGTACAAACATCAGTATTTGAGAAAGTAAAAGTCACATAATGCATTTACCATGAAATAGCATCTGTCTAGAGATGGTTCTTCCGAATGGAAAGGCAGAGCCGTTCAGAAAGCTGGCTCCACCAGGCTTTGGATAGATTGAAAATGCAATAAAAATAAAGGTCTGGCTTGTATATTTAGTTAGTGATGTTTTGTTTTGGTTTGGTTTGGTTTTGTGAGAGCTTACAAAGTGGACCTGGGGTCTGTTCCGATTGGGAAGAAGTAGAGGCGCGGGTCTTTTGAAGATCCGGAGAGCGCTGGAACTGTTTGGGGAAGCAGGGTGGGGGCGCAGGAGTTTGCAGTCTTTCCACCCACCCTCGCCTAATCAGGCGGCTCTCAATCAGGTTTTCAAAATACTAATCTTGATCTAAGAGCTCCTATCTCTGCATAAGTGGAGGAAATGATTCATTTTAGAGGATTCTGTTCTCAGAAACGAGGAATGGGCGTCCGACATAGCAGAAGACCTAAAGAACTGGTCTGGCGTCTGCTGTGTTCCAGGAGCCGGGTGGGACATGGACTGTCCCTGCTGTCGCACCCAGCCTTGCGCAGTAGGCCTCCAGGCGGTGAGTCTTTTTGGCTTCCTCAGTTGGGAGAGTCTTTGACGGGGGAGGATCAAGTACAGAGCTGGGGAGAATGGGGTGTACAGGTATTTCCTATGAACGTCAAGGAGGCCAAGAGCTCCTCTCCAGGTGAGCCCGAGGACATTCTGACCCTTCCACTAAGACAAGAAGGGCAGAGGGGTCACCCTTTCGCCGGTCTGGCTCCTAGGAGCTCCTGTCACATTCTTACCCTCAGCCAGCTGTTCTGCCAAGTGCGTCTGTCCAGGCTAGATGCCTAGGCTAAAAATCAGACCTGTATTTCCCTTTGTCTTTGGGATGAGGGTTTTCAAGCTCAGATTCCAATCGAGATCAATTTGGGATGAACTATGATAGGGCAGGGCTCAGATCTGTTGTCCATAGGGCCTCTATGAGTGGTAGTTAGTCGATCCATTTAACAACAGCAGCAACAAGACAGACAAAACAAAACCAACAACCAGAAAAAAAAACCCAACCCCAAAAACAACAAACCCCCAAACAAACCCATCTTGTGTGTCTGCAAACCAAGGAGGAATCGCCCGCGATGTGGCTCCTCCTTACTAAATTTCAGTTTCTGGATGGCCATCTCTCCTCAGTGAACCTCAAAAAGTCTGCACCCG